CCCCCCTTCATTTTTCCCTTCCTTCCCCTAATGTCCTCCATGCTATTCCTTATGTTCCACAAATAAGTAAAACCATATGATAATTGACCTTCTCTGCTTGACTTATTTCACTTAGCATAATCTCTTCCAGTCCCATCCATGTTAATATAAAAGTTGGGTATTCATCCTTTCTGATGGCTGAGTAATATTCCATTGTATATATGGACCACATCTTCTTTATCCTATTTTTTAAAAATATTTTATTTGTTTATTTTTGTGAAAGACAGCACAGAAGCAGGGGGAGCAGCAGAGGCAGGGGAAAAAGCAGGCTCCCTGCTGAGCAAGAAGCCCAATGCAGGACTTGATCCCAGGACTTGAGCTAAAGGCAGATGCTTGACCAACTGAGCCACCCAGGTGTCCCTAGAAATAGTAAAATATTTATAGAGTACAAAAATATAGAAAACTAAGTTACATAACATTACAAAAGTGTGTGTGTGTGTGTGTGTGTGAGAGAGAGAGCAGAAACAAGAAGCTGTAATGTAACACTAGTTTTCTCCAAAAAGGGAAAATTAGGTAGTTATAAAGGACAGAATTGAGCTGAATTACCTTTCACTGAATATCCTCCTGTAAATTTTGAATTTTGTAACATATATTATTTGTAACAAATATATAATTTTTAAAATGATTCTGGGAAAAAAGAAGTTTCCTAATTTCTCTAAGTTATTTGAAAATAACTTATAATTAACATGAAGTAAATTTGGCAAACTGTTGATAATGGTGGAACCTGGTTTCCTGGTGTCTACAAGTTTACTGTTCTTTTCTCTTTATACTCTGCATGTTTATCTGTTCATAATGAGAAGTTTTATAAAAGTTACAATAGGGCAAATCTTTCACTACCAAAAACATGTGAAAATAAGTGGATTATACATGTTTAGAATTTATTTTAAAAACACAAAAGACTACAGAAAAATATATAAATAAATTAGAACATCAAAAAAAACAGACTGATAAGTTATACCAAAAAGCTGATTGAGGGAGAAGAAAAGGAAGAGCTAATGTTGCTAAAAATCCATGAGTCAGACTTAATTAAAATAAAGAAGAAAAAAAAAGCAGGGCAAAACAACTAAAACTGGAATGAAAAGGAATATCAATTGAAATGAGAAATTAATAGCGTGATGAAAGAACATTTTGCACAACTTCATGTTACTGTGTTGGAAAATCTGCTTGGATTGTGATTTTCTAGAAGAAAACAAGTTAAATATAAGATGCAAAACAAAAAATAAGGAATCACCGTAGAAAAAAGTGAGAAAATTTTCTAGATAGCCTCAGTTCTACTTCAAACCACAAAAAACAAAGGAGAGTTCAGATGATTTAATTGATATGTTAACTTAACCTTTCATATTAATGCTAAAGCTTTTCAACCCATTCTATAGAATAGAGTAAAAAAGAAAATCCTCAAAATTAATTTAATGCAACCAGAGCATCTGAAATCAAAATATGACAAATATAGAAAAGAAAATTACAGATCAACTTCATTTAATAGTATACTTGCCAAAAGTCCAAATCAAATTAAGATACTCATAATTTAGTAGTAAATTCAGAGCAAAACTTTTTTTATACCAAATAGGGTTTGTCCATTCAAGGAAAAAAAGAAAATTTCAATAATAGAATTATTTCACAATAATAAAAGTTTGAAGAATTATACAACTGTTTATGCAAAAAGCATTTATTACATCTACCACCTGGTTCTGATTAAAATTTCTTACAAATATATATAAGGTGGGAGACTTACTTAATATGATACACAAAAACATCTCAAATTTAAAATTCACCTATTTCATTGTTGATTGAGACCACCTAAAACAAAATAACTTACCTATTGGGACTAGGACCTGATACCATCCCTAGCAGAGTCCTGTACACCAGATAGAACTGCAAACAAATAAATACATTCACAATTTCTCATCTAAGCTAATAGCTCTTCTATCATTGAAAAACATGTTACTCACAAAGGCAAACAGCTAATTTATCAGACAAAAATTTGATTATCTAGACTCACACCATGTTACTCTTTTGCCAACCTTATACTACTGCCTGACAAATTTTGTCCATTCTTAACCCGTTCTATTTTTTGAAAAGCCCATCTTAAATCACATCAGCCCAGACCCCAAAGCCTACTTAGAGAACACTATTAAACATTGTCAAAATGGTGTTTTCCCTTGCTGCGGTAAGTTTAACACACTCAGCTTTTCTTGATTATAGTTTTTTTTTCTTGGAGTCTTTTTGGGTAATAGACCAGCAACAATGTACTGGTCAAACCCAAGAAACATTCCATTAAAAACTGATTAAATCAAGATGGGTAATAGTTCCACATTTAAGTGCTCTGAAAGTACGAGTCAGTGAACACTATCAATATAATTAAATCAAGATCATTTGGAAGGAACGAATCAAAATGATTGGTATTTTCAAAAGTTTTGGTATGTATGTACTTAGACAAAATCTGAAAAGTCATGAGAAAGAGTAAGGTGAACACCTACCCCCCAAAACAAAACTTTCAGATGTAGAAAAAATATCAAGGGAGAAAATAAACTGAAAGAAAAACCTCTATCACAAAGTGAAAATATTAACAATAATTAAAATTGTTTAATAAAAAGAAAGACATACCTTGTTCTTGGATAGGAAGACTTATAGTATTAAAAACCAAATTCTCCCCTAAATTAATTTATTAAAGTTGATGAAATTGCAGTCTAAACTGTAATTTCTTCCAACGAGTAGACACATGAGACAGGAGGCAGAAGAAGAGACACACAGACCCACAGAACAAAAATGGTGCCAGTCACAGATGAGAATACAGCACATGTGCAAGATGGCATTACAGATAAATGGGCAATTATTGGCAAATAATCGCAAGTAATGGCAAATAACTTGGCAACTTTAAGATTTCAAATAAAAAAAAATTTCTCATGATTTAAATTTGAATAAAAGAAAGACAAAAGAATAAAAGTTAACATAGGTGACGGTTTTATGGAATCAGTATAAATATTTTTTTCCAAAATGACATGAAACTCAGAAGCCGTAAAAGCAAACATGGTTATACTTGGACATATAACAATCATACACATTCTTATAACAAAAATGAAGTTTAAAAAAGTGCATAAAAAATATCTGTAAAGCTTGACAATCCAAACCTTTTTTCCCCAATAATAAATGAGCTCTTCAAAATCAGAAGACTAAGCCCCAACCCCCGAAATTGGACAGAAAGAGGAAATTAAAGAATACAGATGGCTAATAAACATATGAAAAAAATGATCAAACTCAAAAGCAAAAGAAATACAATTTAAGACAATAGTTTGGGCTATCACATTTGCTAAAAATGTAAATATTTATAAAATCCATTATCTATGAAGTTGTGGGAAAGCTGGCAATCTCATTCATTGCCATTTGAAGATAAAGTTGTTACCACATTTTAAGGAAATCTTGTAATAATTTGAAATGTGCATATCCTTAATCCCAGTATTTCAACTGCTAAGTAATTTATTATGATATAATAGACAAATGCAAAATTGTTGATAGGGAGGTTCATTGCACAGAAATTTTGTGCTAACAAATATCTATGGATGAGAAATGCTTATAACATTTAATTATATTTCATCTACAAAACAGTTGTGCAGTCATTCAACAAATGACACAGATGTATATTATTGAAATAGAAAAGGGTATTAAAAACTGTAAAATGAAAGGCAATTTGCAGAAGAATGTGTACAATATGGCCCCACTTCCAGAACCCCCCAAAATAGTTCGTGTGTATGTGTGTCTGTGTGTGTGCATCTATCCACTTAAAGAATGCACACAACTCTCTTAAGAGAAGAAAACACTGGGGGAGAGAATTGGGAGAGAGGAGGGCACTTAATTTATATATTAGATATTTAAATACGCTTTGAATTTTTGAAAAAAAACTGTGCAGTTTCTTTTTAATATATCCTACTTAAAATTTTTACCATATGGCAAATGGAAATTATAAATGTATATTTATGGGAGCACTGAGCAATTCCACCATTTTGAGTTTCTTGTGCAATAATATATCCTCTACTGAGGCTCCTGGGATTGAGTCAAGTGGCAGCAAGGGAAACAGTCACCATGCCCAAATTAAAGTCTCATCGATGATATCCCAACATGAGCATTTCTCAGTTAAGCATTTCTTATCTGCGGGAGGTGTCCACTGCAACACAGGAAAGAGAGGAATCGCCAAGCATAAAGAAGAGTGTGTCATTGTTTTGGTGAAGCTGGTGGTAGAAGTAATGGCACCCTCAGTAACAAATCCACCTCACATTTGTGGTCACCACCTGCAAGGATACAGACAGGAATATTGGCAAAGGTGAGGGACACATTGTCTAAGGAGCCCATTGGGGGCTATGAAATTCTTATATACTCTACCTCTACATGTGCCATGTATGAATCTACACAGAGGACACAAAGAAAGCCACATTTTCAGCTGCTGCATTCACCCTGTGGCCAGAAAAATGACTTTAAATCTTCCTAAATCAACATCAGTGCTACTTTTTCTTCTTTGCTGAGCTAAAAAGTGATAGACACCTCCAACTATCTCAGAATTTTATCTGTCTCTTTCCCTCTGTATTGGCTCCTTTAAGTTCTAGGTCACTCATTCATTTGATCAGTTATTTCAGACAAAACTATTTTTCTTCACTCCAGTCTAATAGTTATTGAGAACCACTGAATTTCATGTATACAACAACTTTCTGTTAACACAATGTATTCAGCCAAGTAGGATATTGGATAAGAAACACTAAGGAAATCTTTCATATTCACTACAAATATTCTAACTGAAATACAGAAAATCTATGAAGGTATATAAAAAAAAGCTGTATCTCTTTTTTTGAAGATTTATTTATTTATTTGTTTATTTATTTATTTGAGAAAGAGAGAGAGAAAGGGGAGGGGCAGAGGGAGAGGAAGAGAGAGTATTAAGCCAACTCTGCACTGAGCATGGAGCCTGATGCAGGGCTTGGTCTCAGGGCCCTGAGATCACAACCTGAGCTGAAACCAAGAGTTGGGTACTTAACCGACCACCCAGGTGCCCTGAGAAGCTGTATCTTTTAACTCACTATGCATTCTGGCCCTTGAGGTCAATTAGAATTGAGCCAAAAGTCATCAACCTTCAGAAAACTACATCTATTTTCCTACCCAGACATGGTTGCCCCTAGAAATCAAGGACTATTCTGACAAAACCTTACCTTCAAAGCATGGCCCTTGGACCATAGCCTTCTTGTCTGAAGAGTCTTGTTTCAGAGATTTACTGATATCATTCACTCCCAAGAGTTCCCAAGAAGTAATCTTCTGGGGGGAAAATGAGAAATGCCACTTCTAGTGAAAAAGGTTAATCAGCTGGATGCTGGGAAGTTATTCTTTGGTACTCTTTCATATTGATTTCATTTGGAAGCTGCTTCTTACTCACACAGCTCTGAAACTATAGCTACCTGTACCATAACTCTATACATTTCAACATTAGCACATTGTATCAGAGTCCTTCTCTCCTGTGCATTTCCAAGACTGACTCGATTGCTTGAATCCCACTGAAAATTATGCCTTTTTTTCCCCCATCATTTATCATTTTCTGCTTAGTTGGCCAGGTTATTTACAAAATCACTTAAAATAATCTACTCATATATCTATACTCAATAAAAGTTCATTGAGAACCTATTCTATGCCCGGCAATCCATAGGTACTTATATCACAAAAATAAAATTAAAATGTCAGGTCATAAGAAATTAAAAGTGCATTTGATTAATCAAACATAGAAAGAAAGACCTGAGAAGCAATTTAGTAAATGGTCTTGTAGAAGTTGGTTCAGTTTTAGGAGTGGTTGTTGAGAAAGTCCCCCATTTAGTAAGGCCTGTTATGACCCACAGATACAACTCCCAATTACCGTGCCCACTATTATCTGGATCTTGGACGGGTTTTTAATGATATTTAGTTACAACCAAATGTCATCAATCTTAAGAAGAGCAAGATCTATCAACTGCTATCCATCGTGGGCTTTTTTTTCCCCAGTAAACATGCAGTTCCATGATAATATATTTATACCTGCAAGGGTCCAGAAGACCACAAGTAGCAATGGAGAACCACCGACTTAAAATTAATTTGTCATTTCACTCTCTAGAGATGGCATTCAAGAAAGGCAAAGGCATAGAGAGTTTCTCTTCCTTTCTAGGATCCATCATTACCTGGCAGGGAAAAAAAAGAGGAAAAATAACATTTTAAGAAAAAATATGCAGATATAAATATAAATGTACCTATATACACAGTTGTGCATGTAATCAAATTTAACAATAAAATATTCACAAATTGTGCATATCCTGCTATACAGATTACAAAGGGTGGATATTGCTAAGTCCTTGTGTGTCATGTGCACACCTTCAAATGTGCATTGCTCTCCCTTCCCCTGAGATCCAATACACCCAAAAAGTGGCTGGCTAATAATTATTTTAGCAAAGTAAAATATTCTTATTCTATTAAGACTACATGTTATAAAACACTTTTACTTTTATATATACATCAATAAAAATATGGTTTCTCTATTACTATCTGGTGAAGTCCAAGGGAGGCTCCCAACAATTCCATTTGCAAAAGAAAACCTGGCCAACTAAGCAGAAAATGATAAATGATGGGGGAAAAAAAGGCATAATTTTCAGTGGGATTCAAGCAATCGAGTCAGTCTTGGAAATGCACAGGAGAGAAGGACTCTGATACAATGTGCTAATGTTGAAATGTATAGAGTTATGGTACAGGTAGCTAGCTTATATTTATCAATTTTTACAAGACCATCTTCAGAAGAAAATATACACATCAATAATATATAAATATTTGGAAAGATTGGATTAAACTAAATTACTCTTTTATAACAACAGTCTAATATTTGCCCCAAAGCAATAATCTAGTGAAATGGTACATTCTTGTGTAATAATTACAAGAGTCTTAACCATTCTTCATTTAAAATAATTCATAAATACAATATTTTTATCTATGATTTTGAAGAAAGCATAAATCATTAGTATAACAATATAGTATAGCAATAAAGTGTAGATGTGATAAAATGAAGAACACATTTGATTACTATATTCAGAGTATCCTCAAAACTGCACAGAACAATGGTTTACATGTTATTTACTGATCTCAAATTCACTGATTACTCAGTGAAAAAGAACTGTGTGTATCTGAAAGCAATATCCTAAAAATGTCTTTCTGAAGTCATCTGCAGAACATCATCTCACAAAGTTAATCAAATATATTTAGGCTTTCTTCTTTTATCATGTCAATCATTAAAATATCTTGAAATACTAGATTTATGTAAAGGTGTAAAATATTAACCTTTATATTAAAGAAAAACTAAGCAAAAACCATAATTGTTAAAAAGTATACTTGTCTTTTGAATATAGACACATTGATACAATACCATTGTCTTTTTTATTTCATTTCCTGCCTGCTGACAAATTTAGAAACATTTATCATAATGTAGTATCTTTTAATTCTATTTTCAAATATATTTTCCCCAAAATAATCTTAGCTAAGATTTCAACAACAGATATTTTAAAGATCCACATATTTCATAATGCATTGGCATATATGAGAGTAGTTCTAGTAAATTTGTTTCCAATAGAACTTTGGCTCCTGCTGAACAAAAGTTTATAAATCTCAGGAGCCAAAGGAATGGTATATCATTGTGCTTACATAATTCTCTGTTCTCAGAGTAAATTTGGTTCTGAAGATTGCTGTTGGCAAATATGTAGATGTGGACCTTTGGGTTTTCTGAAAGTCCCAGTGAAAGACAAGCAGCCTTTCCCTTCAAAAGAACCACACAGACACAGTTCTTCAGAAAATATTTAAGATCTAAGTTAGGATAATGTATTCTGGAAGAGAAGGATTTAAGTGAGTCTAAATGGGAAAAGAAACACAATATTCTAAAATCACTGTCTCTGCAAAACCTGCTACTACTGAGGAAATCTTGACAAACTGTAGCAACTGCTCTAGCTTCCATCACATCTGACTCTTAGAGTTAGATGGCAGAAATAGATTTTCTTTAGACTTGTATGATAGTGTTTCTCAACCTATTATCAGCAGCAGCAGCAGCAGCAGCAGCAGCTGCGTGGATATCTTTTTTAGGCATTTCCCCCTAGTTTTCACACCCTCAAATTTTAATACCACAGATATGCTGTATATCTGCTTATGTATGGTGGCTGTTTGGAGGACCATGATCCACCGTAATATATAAGATTTCTTTTGCTCCCAAGAACTAACTTTCACCTCAGAAGTATGACATCAACTATGTTGAGAATCATGGTGTACAGTAATTTGAGAAAAATAACTAAACAGGTAGGGAGTGCATACAGTCTTCCAGCTTGTCATGAAATGTGTTTAGAGTAGTTTCTTATTCTCTTCTAATGCTCATACTCAACAGGACACACTACTGAGGGTGAAGGGATGTTCTCTGTCACATACCTTACTTTGGCCCAATATCATCTTCATGCCTGAAAAGAACTATGCCTTTATGCTTTGGTCTAAACACAGAAATGCCAAAAATCCTAGAATCCACAGGAATGGAAAACATGGAGGACTCACCATATCATTAATGTATTTATCTAATGTTGAGATTACAAAGGGTCTTCTAAAATAGATTAAATTATTGACTAGTTAAAACAAACATTGGCTAGAAACATAGATAAATTTGAATGGGTGTGACTGTAGTGTCAAGGGACCTTCTGGAAGCCTCACAGAGATAAGCACTGATATTGATGGGAATCTAAATATCAGTGGCACATTGCTGAGTCTTAAGTGCAACTAAAACCTTGGATTCCTCCATATCCATTTCCCTCAAGAAAACACGAGACAAATAATATTTCTGATGGAATCTACAGAATCAATAGTGATGCCCCTCTTTCATTCCTAACTTTAGTGATTTATATCTTCTTTGTTTCTTGTTCAGTCTAACTAAAGGCTTGTCAGTTCCATTAACCTTTGCAGAAATCCAACTTTTGGTCTCATGGGTTTTCCTTATAGTTATTTTGGGTTTTATTTTTATTTCATTGACTTTGCTCAAATCTTTATTATTTACTTCCTTGTACTTGATTTTCTAGTTGAGTCCTTTTCTTATTTCTTAAGGTAGCAGTTTAGTATATATTTTGAATTATGTATATATTTATATTTAAGTAGGCTCCATGCCCAGCATGGAGCCCAATGTGGGGCTTGAACTTATGACCCTGAGATCAAGAGCCGAGCTGAAATTAAGAGTCAGATGATCGTATTTATTTGATATATTTACTATTTTCTCATAGTCATTTAAAACTATAACTCTTGGGGCACCTGGGTGGTTCAGTCGGTTAAGCATTGGGCTCTTGATTTTGGCTCAGGTCATGATCTTAGGGTCGTGAGATCAAGTCCTGCATCGGGCTTTGTGCTCAGTGTGGAGTCTGTTTGAGATTCCCTCTGTCCATCTCCCTCTTCCCCTCTCCCCGCTCGTGCTCCCTCTCTCTCAAATAAATAATAAATAAAATCTAAAAATAATAACTATAGATCTTCCTCTAAACATGTCTTTATATGCATCCCATTCAGTTCTAAATGTTTTCTAGTTTCTTTGATTTTTCTTTGAGCCATGGGTTCTTCTAAGTATATTAATTTCCAAATATTTGGTGATTTCCCAGATTTATTTGTTTTCATCTCTAATATAATTCCCTATGATCACAGACCATACTCTATGATTTTAATCTTTTTAAATTCATTGTGTCCAGTTTTATGACTTAACACACAACTGATGCTGGAGAATGCTCCAGATGTGTTTGAAAATAACTTGCTTTCTGCTGTGTTCTATATATATCAGATCAAGTTTACTGAGAAAGATTGCTTAAGTATGCTATAGCCACACTCATTTTCTGTCTAATTGGTTTATCAATCATTAAGAAAAAGGTACAAAAGAGTCCAGTTATTTTCATTGAATTGCCTACTTATCCCTTCAACCATGTCTGTTTTTGCTTTACATTATTTGAGGCACCATGGCTAGGTGATTATTATATTTATATACTATATAAATAACAAATTAAGCCATCTATCATTATGTAATATCTGTTTTCATTTTTTTTTTAAGATTTTATTTATTTATTTGACAGAGACAGACAGACAGCAAGAGCGGGAACACAAGCAGGGGCAGAGGGAGAGGAAGAAGCAGACTCTCTACTGAGCAGGGAGCCCGACACGGGACTCAATCCCAGGACCCTGGGAACATGACCTGAGCCGAAGGCAGACGCTTAACTACTGAGCCACCCAGGTGCCCCTCTGTTTTCCTTTCTAATAATATTTTAACTTAAAGCCTGTTTTCTCTGAAATCAGAATAGCCACTCCAGTTCTCTTCTGGGTATTCTTTGCATAATATAGCTTTATCCACCATTTCCTTTCAAACCATTTATGTATTTTGCTCTAAATTATCTCTTTCATAAATAATGTATAGCTGTTTAAATTTTAATGGAAGCTCCCAATTTCTGTCTTTTAAACTTAATAGTCATATGGTTGGATTTATGTCTGCCCTTTTTCTGTTTTCTATGTCTTACATCATTTTGGTCCCTCTGTTCATTAATAGCTGCTTTCTTTTGTATTAAATGAGTATTTTGCTATTATACTATTTAAACCCTTTAGTGATTATTTTGAAATTATATATATTTA